AGAAAGCCTGCCTGTGGTAAGATGGCCGCCCGGTGATGCCGTTTGAGACCCCGCCGTAAGACATCTAGCCTTTATCATGGATATCTATGGAGCCGCCAGCCTGTTGTATGTAATTTATTTAGTGTACCACTAGGTGGAGGTAAATCTTACACGCTGTCCCTTTAAAGAAAATGGAAGACTTGGTTATTTGCTTAAGTGAAATTTTGAAAATGTTCTCTAGGTTTCCAGGCAAAAAAGGACCTGCCCCTAAACAAGAGTCGAAAAAGAACAGGGTTAAAAAACCAGTCCGAGAGATTAGAATGTCTCCAAGAGGCAGAGGAAGAGAAAAGGTGAAACAGGATCATAAGGAGGACACGGAGGAAGAGGAGGAGAAGGAGGAGGAAGAGGTGGGACTGAAGGACAAAAAGGAGGTCCTCCCCCACTGTCTAATGAAGCGTGATCGCAACATCCAGGAAAACAAAGCAATGGTACAGTTTGAATTTTTGGTGTTTCAGCATATTGTGGTTGAATTTGATCAAATCCTTTGACTCTTTCATCTCTGTGATGTTTTCAGCTCGCTAAGCTGTTTGCTGATCTCAGCTCTCTGGCTGACCTGACTCCACCAAACACACCTGAGGTGAGCCCTCGCCTTTTTCTTTAAAAAAAGATTAAACTAAGTCACTGTTTTACAAGTTTAAGGTAAGTTTCAAGTCTTGTCCTCAAGTTTCAACTGAAGTCTTAAGCAAAGACGGGGAAGTCAGAGACAACTCTAAAGTCAAGACAAGTCCCAGAATGGAAACTTAAGCTGCGTTCACACCGAACGCATCAGGAGCAGCAAAAATGCGTCTGCTGCTTCATTTTTGCTGCTAATACCAGTTTAGTTCTGAAGCAGCTTTGCTGCTGTGGCTGCGCAGTGGAGAAGTGGGTCTGACGCACGTTGGGTGGAGCTACTCTATCCTTTCTTTGCCTTGCAGCTATATTTGCTGTGATCAGTGGGAATAAAGCAGTTTTAATATGTTTTTAATTAGGAAAACCACCTGAAAACTTTATCTGTGTTTTTCACTTTTCAGTGTTTTTATTTTTCATGCCAATAAGTCAAATGTTTTTATAGACCTAATCTCAGATATTTCTAATACAGATTAATTTTCATGCAAATATGCAAGTCGGCATGTTTGATTTGATTGTGACAAAATCGTCAACAAAGGCTGTGATTTTTCATTTTGTTTATTAAATTTGTACCTTTATTTTGCCGGTTCACACCTCACGTTTAATGTACCCATCTGGATTTGACTTTAACAAACACCAAATCATTTTTATTTTTTTATTCCAATGATAAAATAAGTCAGTTGAGCTGGACATTGATTCTTGAACTCTTATCTAATCGCCATACAAAGCAAACTCACCATCCTCTTTATTAAGCTGAATTTTACTTATACTTTTCTTCAATTCGATCAAGTTAAATTAATGAAAAAACCTGGCTTTTTTTTTTTTTTTGTAAATTTTCAGAAACCCAAACATTTGATACAACAGACAACATTCTCTATGATTCAAGTTTTTTGCAGAGCCTGCAAAGAGGATCAAAAAGAAATGATTTTGAGTTGGGATAATGTGGGCTGAAAACTAGAGGCAGCAGCATTCAGCTTCCTTTTGACATTCAAACTTAGAAAATGTTGAATCAAAGGAAATAAAGGGACTGATGCATGCTGAAGATTCACTTAGAATTTAGGTTTTTAGCCTGGAAAGTCTAAAGTTCCAACACCAAAACTTTAAAGATTAAAACATTGGACTTTAAACGAGGTATATAATTTGCAAACCTGTCGTTTCTTGAATAATTTTCAGGGATTCTTAACATTTCTCTTATTCAGATTAAATGATTTCCTCCGATCATGTATTATAGGGACGTCAGTTCTCTTTCTTTGACTAATGAACCCAAAAACAAATATGATGGATATAAGCTGGCAGAAAGCTGCTTAACCACTTCTTAATAAATCAATTTGATCACAAAATGAACTTCTGCACGTATGAATAACTTGATCTGTTACTTCAATAATCTGATGTTACTCACATTATCATGTTAAAACAGGTTTTTAATGTTAATGTTGTTCCACTTTGCAAATAAGTCTGGTTTTAGACAAACGTTTTCTTGTTTTGCTGATGTTCATAAGGTTAGTATCTTTTTGAGGAAAAGGTTGTTTCAGCAAACAAAAAACATCTTTTAAAATTTGAAGTTATTATTACTCCACCTTTATTGTTTTATTACTCAAGCATTGCATGCCTTAGCTTAGAGAAATGCATCTGGGATGTTTACTTGACTTGAGACGCCAGTGGAAAGACTTGAGACTTACTGTTGACTAACCTCTATGTTTATTTTACGTTTTTGCCTCAAAGTTCTCACTATAAATTGTGATTTACATTATGGTGGGGTGTATGTGTGAAGAATGTAGGTTTAGTAAAGTGCAAATGAAATATAATGCATAATAGAACTGCATCAATTATCTTTTGCGTTGTTTAAGAAAATCAGAACCAAAAGAATCGGAACAAAAATGTCCTTTTTTCCTCCTTTATTGTTAAAAATATGTTTATTTTTTTCCGTCTCTGCAGAAGAGGAAGCGAGTATCCCAGAAGGTAGCGCAGAAGCGTAAGCTTAGGTCTGAAGCAGGGTCAGAAAGAAGGAACCCGTCCCGTAAAGCTCGTCCTCCAGAGAACTTTGCAGTGGAGGAAAAGTATGAGCCAACTAAAATCACAAGTCCCAGGACTGTTGACATCAGGAGACTGTTGGAGGTACGAGTTGCTCCAGACGCTTTATCAAACACAACACTCTCATTCTTTTTGCTTAATTTCAGATGTTTCTCTGAAATATTTGTAATCACTGAAAAAAGAGAAGTATAATCCCGCTTGAGGCCTTTAATGGGTTTACCTCTGAACAGGTGGATGAGGAGAATGTTGATGGGGGGAAGAAGAGGAGGAGAAGCCACAGCTCCAGGAGGAGTCAGTACATTGTGAAATCCGTGGATGATATCACAGAGGAGGACCTGGAAAACATAGCTTACCGCAGCAAGGACAAGATCTGGGATAAAGAGAATGTGGGTTATCACAGCTTTCACCTTCATGGAAAAAAATTAAAGTCTAAATCAGTATTTTTTTCTTTAAGTGCATTTTTTTCTTGAATTTAGGAGATAAGTGAGACATTTTGACAATGGAACAAGATATTTTACATTTAAAATAAAAAAAAATTGCTTTGTCTTAATTCAAGAGCATATTATCTAATTGTTTTATTTTAAGGATAAAAATCTTATATACCTGTTCAAAGTAAAGCTAAATACACGTATTTTAAGAAATGTTTACTTTTCTAGATCGTTTTTCCAGTGTTTTACCTCCTTATGTGTCGTGATCTTAGCAGAGCGGCTGAATTGCTCTTCTTCTTCACGTCCTCTTTAGGGCAGCTCGTGTCACCAGTGCCGACAGAAGACTCTGGACACCAAGACAGTGTGCCGTAGTGGTCACTGTGTGGGGGTCAAAGGTCAGTTCTGTGGACCATGTCTAAAGAATCGCTACGGAGAGGATGTTCGCAGTGTGCTGCTGGACCCGGTGAGTTTCACACACATGCAGCAGAGCTTTATCCCTGCTTGGTAAAGGTTAAAGGTACCAAGGCTCTTAATACTTTTTTTTTTTCACAAAGACGACATTCTAAAAGATCACTAGTTTGGATATTTTACTTTCCTTATATATTGAATTCTATGGGTTGTTGAAATTAGGGTTGCAAATTGTACGAAAAAATAAGATCTCCAATAATCCTGAAGAAGGTCTGTAATAACAATATGACTCAAAATACGGTCATGTATAAAAGTTTGGGCACCGCCATTTATCTTAATTATTTTGATTTCTAAATATTTGGGTGTTTGCAACAACTATTTCCGTTTGATATATCTAATAACTGTTGGACACAGTAATATATCGGTGTTGAATTGAGGTTTATTGGACTAACAGAAAATGTGCAGTACGCAATAAAACAAAATTTGACAGGTGTTAAAATATTGGCACCTCAGCAAAAGAGAGACATTAATATTTAGTAGATCCTCCTTTTGTAAAAACAACAGCCTCTAGTCGCTTCCTGTAGCTTTTAATGAGTTCCTGGATTCTGGATGAAGGGATTTTCGACCATTTTTCTTTGCAAAACAATTCCAGTTAAGTTCGATAGTCGCCGAGCATGGACAGCCTGCTTTAAATACTCCCACAGATGTTCAATGATATTCAGGTCTGGGGATTGGGATGGCCATTCCAGAACATTGGAATTGTTCCTCTGCATGAGTGACTGAGTAGATTTGGAGCGGTGTTTTGGATCATTTTCTTGTTCATCCATCCCCTCTTAACTTCAACTTCGTAACTGATTCTTGAACATCATTTTCAAGAATCTCCTGATATTGAGTGGAATCCATGCGACCCTCAACTTTAACAAGATTCCCAGTGCCAGCATTGGCAACACAGCCCCAAAGCATGATGGAACCTCCACCAAATTTCACAGTGGGTAGCAAGTGCTTTTCTTGGAACACTGTGTTTTTTTGCCACCATGCATAACGCCTTTTTTTTATGACCAAACAACTCAATCTTTGTTTCATCAGTCCACAGGACCTTATTCTAAAATTAATAAGGTCTAAAATTGGCTTGTCCAAATGTGCTATTGCATACCTCAAGTGATTCTGTTTGTGGCGTGTTTGCAGAAAAGGCTTCTGTTGCATCACTCTCTCATACAGCTTCTCCTGCTGCTAAGTGCACCGAATTGTTGAACGATGCACAGTGACAGCACCTGCAGCAAGATGATGCTGCAGGTCTTTGGAGGTGGTCTGTGGGTCACTATTCTCACCATTCTTCTTCTCTGCCTCTCTGATATTTTTCTTGGCCTGCAACTCCTGGGCTTAACAAGAACTGTCCCTGTGGTCTTCCGTTTCATTACTGGTTCTCATAGTGGAAACTGACAGTTGAAATCTCTGAGACAACTTTTTGTATCCTTCCTCTGAACGACTATGTTTCACTGATCTTTGTTTTCAGATCATTTGAGAGTTGTTTTGAAGTGCCCATGTTTCATCTTTAGAGGAGATATAAACAGGAGAACAACTTGCAACTGGCCACCTTAAATACGTTTTCCCATGATTGGATACACCTGGCTATGAAGTTCAAATCTTATTGAAGTTACCAAACCAATTTTGTGTTTCAGTAAGTCAGTGAAAAGTAGTTAAGGGTATTTCAATCAATAAAATGATTAGGGTACCCTCATTTTTGCACCTGTCAAGTTTTGTTTTAATGCATATTGCACATTTTCTTATAGTCCAATAAACTTCAATTCAATACTGAAATGTTACTGTGTCCATCAGTCATTAGATATATCAAACTGAAATAGCTGTTGCAAACACCCAAATATTTAGAAATAAAAATAATTAAGATTAATAGACGTGGTCGAACTTTTTCATATGACTCTACATAAAACGGCATTAAATGGTTTTATTACTGTGCTGCTTTTGGTTCCTATTTAAAGGTATACTGGACGGTTTTTGTGAATTTTTGAAAAGACCCGTCCTCTCCACAGGAAAAAAAAATGCACATGCACAACCCTGTACCTGCTCCTGAAAGGGAACACCTATTAAACATGTGCAAGAGTGCACGGTCCCATTTCTCCTCGTGTACGCTCTGTTTAAAAGTTGTTGTTTGCAGCGCTCATACAAGCTAACTTTCCAAAAAGAAGATATGCAATTTTTTCACCATATCAGGCTACCTAATCCACATCCACCCCGAAAAAGAACATCCTTCACTATACCTGAAGTTTAGTTTATAACATTCTTCTCAACAAAGCTTTATGTTTATAAAAAAAAAAAAAAAAAAAAAAAAGGGAAAAAAAGCTTCCTTTTGGCTGGTGTCTGGCGTCTTGGCAGTGAAACATATGAAACATCTAATGATTTGATAATTTTACCATTGGTTCATTTTTTACATTAGAGTCACTAAGAGTTTTACAGACTTGGAGACATGGGCAGTTCTAGACAGAGGCTGGAGCCCATGTGGAGCTGGTTCTGGCCCCTTTTACTGAAGATATGGTACAAAATAAAGTTCATATGATGGACCAATTTCAATTTCTACCTTTACAGCTTTACAAAGTTTTTTACTTGGTCCCATACTGAGATAGGATCACAAATGTCACCTGCTAGATCAGAGATCTGCAACCAGCAGAGCCAAAAGTGGCCAATTGGCTCACTTATGTTACAAAATGAGCTATTACCATGTTTATATATATATATATATAGTTAAATTTTTTCTAGCAAGACAACTAAATAGAATGCTTTACCGCATTGTACTAGAATAATGAGCTAAAACTTACTGCACTCTTGGCAGTTCTTCAGGATATGCATGTAGTGATGCTTATGTGCGTAGCAATAGATGTATTCTTCAAGCCTAATTTAAACTGATTAGTACCTTTAATTTACCACTTTTTTTGATCCTTTTTAAGAAGCTTATTCATAATCTATTAACAATACAAAATGTTTTCTGGGTAGTTTCTTTAGTGCCAATTTGCAGCTCATATCATCTCTAGACACTTTGCAGAGACACATTAACCAGATCCTACAGTAAGATTTGTAAAAAGTTTTTATCTAATGGAAACCAGCTGATCACATGGACACGCTATTGTCCCGATCATTAGCATGATGGTATAATTCCTATTTTATTACAATATTCTAAGTATTTAAAGGCTTATCCCAATGTCCTCAGCAATAGGATTTTGTCATTGTAGCTGAACGGCTCAGTCTGTCTCTGTCTAGAGGTCCTTTCCCAAAAAAGCATTTACCTCACTAATGTGGGCAGCTGCTTACTGTGGATGGTGACAGTCGTAGCCTCCAGTTCATGGTAAACTTAAACCTGATCCTGAGCACCATGTCAGGTTTCCTTCTAATCTTCAAATTTTTATTACTTTTTAAATAAAACGTTATTTATTTTAGTAAATTATCCTTAAGTGAATTTTTCTTCTTTCAGTTTTGTGTTATTTGAATTGCTAGTGTGGACTTATCCTTTTATTTATTGGGAGGTTATGTAAACTTTCAAGCACAGCTGTATTTCTATAACCATATGAATTATTTCAAAACTATCCTGAAAGGACTTTCATTCACAACTCTAATAAGACTCAGTTTCAGTTAAAGTATTAGAAATAGTAGAGAGTAAAATGAATAACTGTCCTTCTTTTGCTGTTTCTGCCAGACGTGGTCATGTCCCATCTGCAGGGGGATGTGCAACTGCAGCCTGTGTCGTAAGAAGGAGGGCCGCTGTGCCACAGGGATCCTAGTGGGCCTTGCACGCTACAACGGCCACGACAACGTCCACGAGTATTTGGAGAGGTAAGCTTCCTCATTCTGCACCCTACAGCTCCATTTAAAGGGGCAAACCCAGATTAAAACTCCTTTTTTATGCTTTGTCAAAAACAGTAACCATACAAAATCTAGTAGGGAATGTTTAGAATGACAACAGATTTAAAACCTCTATGAAGGGGTTCTCATGTGATGTAATGGTATTTTACTGCATCTGTGTCCTTAGAAATGAGCTTGCTTGTGTTCAGTTTAATTTGACTAAAAACATTGTTTATTAAAATACACATAAACTCATAAATACAAAATTATAACCCAGTCTGCATGGTACAATCATCATGATTATAGTAGGGTCACTGATGGCGTTTCTGTTGCCTGTAGCAAAATTATCAGGGAAAAACGAGCTATTTATATAAGCTATTATATAAGCGATTTTATCCAATTCCATATTCCTGAATAAAAAGAAGAAATGTTTTGTCACAACTGTTCATGCAGCAGCATCAGAAGCTCATGATGTTTTTTTCTGTTTTGTTTTAGCATCCAGAAGGAGCTGCAGTGAAGTCCAGATGATTACAGCTTCTGGTTGCTGCTCAGTACTGTAAAGGCTTTTTGATGCACATTTCTGAACAAAACAACTCGCCTTTTACCTAGTTTGAGAAAACAGCATTGTTAAAGTTGCCTTAAAGGTGTTTTATACCGTTACTACTTTGTATATGTAGATCGGGGCTTTTGTTGCATGTAATGCAGAACTGTTTTTGTACTTTAGTCCAGTTTTTGTTTTTTGATGAAGTTTTATAAATCTGATTGATTTAAATGTTTTTTTTTGTATTAGAAACCAAAGTTCTGATTCAAATTATACTCTTGAAAACTTTTAAGTGTTCTTGCCAGTCTACTGTACGTTTGAATAAAGTTTTTTTTTTTTTAAAGAGAACATTTGAAGCAGTGCTGTATTTTTTATTTGTTTTATCAGTGTATGTGTTTCAATTATAGAAATATATGCAAGTCCATAATTAATCTTTTAAAGTGTAATTACTTTAAACAGGAAGTCAAATTTAGGTTTTTGCAGTGGACTGGCCATGAATAAATTCCACCTGGGTGTGATTTAATCTCACGAGAAATCTAATCGTTCTGTGAACATTTTAGTTTTTGTCTGAGGACATTATTATCTCTGGCTGCTTTTAGGAGAGTTTCTGTTTACAGGAGAACTTAAAAAGTCATGGATGGATATTAATTAAACTTTTATCAGAGGTGTCCCTCATGGGGAGGAATCTGATTTATTGTGGCGATGATTCAGGTCATAATCTGGATACAGGAATGTTCTAAAAGATTCTCCAACGTGGTGAGATAGAGATATTTGGCAATAAGAGCAGTTCCCCCCCCTAAACCAGAGGGTGGCAGCACTGACTTGACTGACAGCATCAGACTTAAAAAGTCTGATGCAAAAAGCAGAGGGGACGATGTAGGTTTGCAGGATCGGTTAAAAACATAAACTTACTTTAATGACATTTGTTACTATAGATGTGCCTCATGTCAAGGACGGAGTCATTTAAAGTCGTTAATGATCCAGATCAGGTGCGAGTTTTAGCCAGAGGTGTAAGTCGCAATTTCAGGCAAAATGTACTGCTTGGTGGAGGTCTGCACTTTGCAAGTGTTTTCCTGATTGAATAAATGACATAGTGGAGAACCAAGTGTGTTGAAGTGTAAGCAAAAAAACCTAAACTGTCAGGATGGGTAAACTGCAGATAATCAGGCTCATCAGAAGTGTGGCCCAACGCCAACTTTGGAGGAGCTGCAGGGATCCACATCTCAGGTGGGAAAAGCTGTTAACTGCAAAAGCCTATTTGTCACATACTCAGAGGAAAATGGGGACAGAAAGTAGAACCTTAAAAAAAAAAAAACACATTTGCAGTTTGCAGCAGGCTATTTTGAAAATGCACTCTAGCACACATGGAAACTTCTAATCAGCTGAGATTTACCCAGTGGCGGCTGGCCAGTAGGGGGCGCTTGGGCGCCGCCCCCTTTAAATTGTTTGGATAATAAATGATTTCTAAATAAAAAAATTTTTCTAATAAATGAACTGCAAAATACTTAGAAATATATTTATTCCTACTGTGTGTCGAATAGAAATGTTAAATTTATTAAAATAGTAAATACATAATTCTATTTAATTGCTCACATTGTACACACTTCCTATCCTGCAGGGCGCCGTTCTAATGAGAGTGTATGTAGGCGCATCAACTTGTGGCAAGCAGGTCATCTGAGGCTGACTTTCAATAGGTTA